GGGAAACAGAGAGTCCCCTTTCCTGTCCCTCCTTCCCATGAGTTCTAAAAACTCATCCAAAGTTTTGCTTCTACCCTTAGGGGACAGATCTCCCCTGCCTTCCTCTTTCGTAGAGAAGACAAACTGGGAGTGGGTTTGCCAGGATACAAAACTGCAAAGCTTTCAACCCACTACCTCATTTTGGAAAGAGAAAATGAGATTATTGCGTTTGTTTTATTTGCGAATGTTTTGTTTAAGCCCTGGTCTCAGTTGATCTCAAGCCTTCCCTAGGCAGGATAAATAGGAATGATTGCAATGACAGCTAATGTCTCCCATGTGTGAGGCTGTTCACTAAGTGGGGAACATTTATTATCCTCACTGCTAACTAAAGAGGCAAGTTTTGTCATCGTGCCAATTTTGTATGGAAAGAAAAACTATAGTTTGGAAATAACTCCTAGGTCTTGGGCTGGTGTCTGAACTTAGGAGGTTGGACTACACTTTTCAAGAGAAAATGGCAAAGACAACAGGTGCCAATGAATTAGGGAGAAGGAAATTTAAAAATTACACCTGCCTAGTGCTGTGTGTGCTCACAGCACTTAGTACTACAGAGGGAAGGAAGGCTCAATAAAAGGAAGATGGGAGAACGTCGCCTTTGAGCTGGGGTATCTTGCTGTTTCCTTTCCCTCCCAATATGGAAAAAATCCTGCTTTGTGAGAATCTAGTGCCTGACTTCTTCTTGGGAAGATCAAGCTCGCCTGAAATTGTTTTTTTGGTATCAACAAAACTTCAGTCCTAAATCCCGACTAATACTTAGTATGTATGGTGATGCTGGGTGCCTGGGGCTGGATTTACCTTCTCAGAACTTTCTTTTTTTCTTTTCTTTCTTTTTTTAATTGGAATGTCAGATATACAGAGAGGAGGAGAAACAGAGAGGAAGATCTTCATCTGATGAGTTACTTCCCAAGTGGCTACAATGGCCAGAGCTGAACCAATCTGAAGCCAGGAGCCAGGAACCTCTTCTGGGTGTACCATACAAGTGCAGGGTCCCAAGGTTTTGAGTCATCCTTGACTGCTTTCCCAGGCCACAAGCAGGGAGCTGGATGGGAAGCAATGCCTCTGGGATTAGAACCAGCACCCATATGGCACAGGCAAGGCGAGGACTTTAGTTGCTAGGTGACCACACCGGGCACTATCTTCTCAGAACTTGTCCACATTGTTGAGAGGCCTGATATGCACTCTAGGGAATTTATGGGAACTAGAGACAAAGAATGCCTATCACGTATTGCACCATAGATGCTGGCAACAACTGAGATGGTCTCCCCCATCAGTGGGTACCTCTCATCCTGAGACTTCCCCACTCTCCCTGGATGGGCGTGACAGGGGCAGGTGGCGGTGAAGCTGAAGGTATAAGATATGTCATCAGAGCTCTGTAGAATGCTGTTTGCTTGGCAGACTCCTGGAGGGGACTGAGCTCTGCAGGCAGAATGTGGGAACCCAGTATATCTTAATCTGTGAAATTCATGTAACGGGTGAAATAGAAGACAGGATAAAAGAGGGCCCAGGGAAAAAAGCCTGTGCTGACGTTGGTAAGGGTGAGTCTTATCACCCCTTTGTGGTAGGTTCATAATAAGGACATTCAGCTAAGAGAAGCTAGGTGAACTTGACCATGGAGATAATCACTTATCTTCATTCCCCTCCTTAAGGGTGTCATATTCAGCAATCTTCAAAGCTACCCCAGAGCACCTGGCTCTGGCCAGATTCTCTTCCCTTCCTCTCTCAACCAAACCCAATGCTCCGTCTCTATACAAGTAATGTTGAGTCTTTGAATAGACTGCTATTTATGTCAAATTACCATTAACTAAAGACCACGGAGGTTCCTAGTCATGAGTCAGAATAGACTGCTGCCCAGATTTTTAAATTTATTTTATTTTTTATTGGAAAGTCAGATATACAGAGAGGAGGAGAGACAGAGAGGAAGATCTTCCATCCAATAATTCACTCCTTAAGTTGCTGCGATGGTCGGAGCTGAGCCAATCCAAAGCCAGGAGCCTCTTCTGGATCTCCCATGTGAATGCAGGGTCCTAGGCTTTGGGCCATTCTTGACTGCTTTCCTAGGCCACAGGCAGGGAGCTGGATGGGAAGCGGGGCCACCTGGACATGAACTAGTGCCCATATGGGATCCCAGCGCATGCAAGGCAAGGACTTTAGCTGCTAGGCTACTGTGCGAGGCTCACTACCCAGGTTTGAACTCTGGCTCACATATCATGCCCCTAAGAACAATCAATTGCAAGCTCTCATTAAGAACAACTAGACAGACTGACAAGAACACTGCTCATTGACAGACTCTTAGCTCTGAGCCTCTTAGAACATGAATGACCACATACACATTCCTTGCATTTTCCAAGCTTCACATTTTGGTTTGTTGTACCTGAAGCAGACCTAACTTGTCTCCTGTCTAGGTCACTTTTGGTGGTTAAAGGAAGATAGCTGCAAAGTGTTATATGAGCCTAAGATTCTGTGAAGGTCACCACCAATCAGTGTTTCCTCTCTATTCCAAATGGTAAGATTAGTTAGCAAAATAAGTCAGTGTGTGCAATGATATTCCATTCGTTGTCCAAAAAAAAAAAAAAAATTCCTCAGCTGTAGCTGCTTCTGGTGATTAGTTGTGTGGTGGATGAAGGCTATAAGGTCTATTGGAGGTCAATTCTGGGAAAAAGCAAAGTGACGGTGAGGGAGGAAGAACCAGAATAAAAAGTCAGATTGTGAGTAATCCATTTTAGGCTTGAGACACTGGTCATATTCTAGAATACCCCTGAAACTGGTAGGAGGAATTGCCACAGAGCACCACCCCTCCCAGCAACTGAGTCTGCCTACCTGGCACACACCAAGTCCATCACTGAAACCTGGAGAGTGGAAGAAATTCATTTGCAAAGCACAGAGCAAAAAGCCAGATGGTCACTGATGGGTTGATGACAGTGAATCCTGTGGTTCAAACTTAATCATGAATAACCTGTGACTGGTTTATGTGTGCGTCTCTGGTATGTTCACAGTGCACAGGGCCCTTTCTCTCATGGTCAGTGATGGGGGAAGCAGAATTTCCTTTGGGAAGACAATGGTGGGCTGTCTGCCTGGGTCTCGGATGGAATGGTTATTTGGTTTATCTGGGCCTGTATGTCCTTGAAAAACTCTTAGAATAGAAGTTCGTGTTGAGATGTTAACTGTTTTGCATCTGGTTTGTTCTCTCTGTCTCTCTCTGAAAAAATTTTTTATTAGAATTTGAAAGATAGAGTTATAACAGAAAGAGACAAAGATCTCCCATCCACTGGTTCATGCCCCAACTGATTGCAGTGGCCCAAGCTGGGCCCATCTAAAGGTAGGAAGCAAAAGTTTCTTCTGGATCTCCCACGTGGATGCAGGGGCCCACCCACTTGGACCATCTTCCATTGCTTTCCCAAGCACATTAGCAGAGAGCTGGATTGGAAGTGGAATAGCCAGTCCTCGAATTGGTGCCCATATGGGATACCAGCACCACAGGAGGAGACTTAGCCTGCTATGCCATGGTGCCAGCCCTATGGATTTGGTTTTACCCTCCACACTATTACTCTTTTTCAGTGAAGGCTCCAACAATTATCCATGAAGTAGAAGTAAACATGAGATTGCCATTTAGACCCCACCCCTACCACACCCATCTTTCCTCCCTGTCACCCACAAAGCCAGCAAAACCAGCTACCCTGTTTTCCTGTAGGTCCTCAGGTAGCTGCCTCCCTGGCCAGGATCTCAGCTTGCTCCTCTCCTGGGAAAGAAAAATTCCTCCTGCCCTCTTCCTGCGTGCCTCATGTGCTATCCTTACCTTATCCGTGAAGTCTTCTCAGGTCCCTCCTCTCCCCTAGCCTGCATAGAACACTTCTCCAGTGCGTCTGACACAGCCCAATGCTGGAGACACACTGGTTGTTGGGGGAAGTGGGGGGCCACAGCCCTTCTTGAGCAGCATTCCATTCTCTCTCCGTGGAAATGAGATAAGCAGTATAGGAGCCTATTAGAAGCTTCAGAGTATGGTTGTATGGAAGGCTGGAGGAATCTCCACTGGAAGGTGAAGAAAGATCCAGAATCATATGGCTCTAGCCATCAGGATTGACCTGCTGAGCTGTTCTGTGAAGGAATGACTCAGTCAATAAAAAGGTGACTACCCAAGAGCTGTGTTGGAGAACACCTCAGTTTGAACTTCTTTTTCCTTGATGTGTTAATGTGGAAAGAGGAAAGAGGACCCAACACTAACAGTTACAATGCAGTTAGGTGCCATGGACCCTGCCAAACTCTACAGTGGATGATTGCATTCTTGCAAGGATCTAATGAGGTTACCACAGTAGGTTTCCTCTTGTCTGTAGGGGGTAACTTTCTATCAAGGCTACCTTGTCTTCCTGCCAGTGAATGCCTGAAACCTTGAGTAGTACCAAAGCCTAAATGTTACATTTTCCCAGAAAGATATATATATATATATATACACACACACTCACACACAAACACATACACACAACATCCATATATCCAGTATATGTGGATATGAATATATATATATGGATATATGGATATTATATATATATACATATATCTCCAGTATATATGGAGCATGGCTACACTGCTCAAGGGAGGAGTCACAATTCCATTTGAGATAGGGCAGGGCAGCATACGATTTTTTTGGGTTTTTTTAGCATAAGGTGTTATGCTACTCAGAATGCCATACAGTTTAAAGCTTATTAACTGCTGCTATTTGGAATTTTCCAATGACTGTTTTCAGGCTGTGATTAACCATGGGTCACTGAAGTGGTGAAAAGCAAAGCTACAAGTAAGCAGTGCCACCCAACTCCAGTCATAGCCAAGGAACCAGAAGCTCTGAGAGAATCCATATCCTGCCCCATTGAACCCATTGTATCTGAGTCCAAAGCCTGTTGGTTTTATCTAGTCTTCATCAGTGGTTCTCCAAGCATGGTTCCTCAGAGGAAGAACATCAGCACCTCCTAAACATGTTTGAGGAATGTAAGCCTCTGGGCTTCCCCCAAGTCCTGCTGAATCAGAAACCCTTGGAACAGGGCACAACAATCTAGACTGTCACAAGCGTTGCAACTCTGAGTACTACTGCCTGAACTCCATGTCTCCCACAGGAGGACTCCCTTCAACTTGGCCTATAAAACCTACTAACCCAGGAATGTTCTAAGGTGCCATTTAGGTATAGATCCCTGACCTTACCAAAGTTTCAGCTGACATTTCTGTGCCACCTACTTTCTCATCAGTGCACACCCGGAGCTGTGGGCAGTGCCCATTGGCTTGGAGAGTAGTTAGAGGAACTTCTACAAAGTGAGTAACAACTCTCAACTCCTTCAACTCCTCCTTGATATACAGTTTGGAAAATTAAGTTAGAGACCAAATTGTGGTATCTTTCCAGAGCCTGCAGTGAACAAGCCCTTGGCATGCAGTGAGAAATGTACTACTTGTAACTGGTACAAGGTGCTTTGAGAAAAGTGGAGGCCCCACCCCAGACTTGACATTGGGTTGGGAGGGGTGAGGAAGGCAAGGGCTCAGCAGACCACCTATGGGATACAGAGTGAGTCACCTGGGGAGGGAAGAAGAGTGATGGTGGGTGATATGGACTGGTGCACTGGGCTGGGGGAGCCACACGGCGAGGAGTGGAAAAGGATCCTGATGTGGGAAGGACTGTTTTCAGGATGGCTCAAAGCTGGAGTGGGGCATGACATGAGGCAGCACACAAGAACAGAAGGTAGCTCAGAGGGCCTCATCAGCTGGGTATAGAGTTTGAACTTTATCTTTGAGGAAGCAGGAAACCATGTGCAGGGTAGAAAGGACATGGGAAACAGGTTCACTCCATTACAAATACAGGCTTATTTTCATACAGTCATTCTGTTGTTGGAGGTGTCATCACTGTTTGAGTACTACAGGTGCTGGGGAGCAGTTCTTTGGTCTTTCTGCATGCCTGCCCCAGGGTGCCGGGAGCCTGTTACACCTGCTTCCTGCCTAGGCTGCTTAACACTCCAGGCAGGAGGGCAAGCAGGATGTTTGGCTCTTTGCCTCATTTCTGTTGCTTCACGGCCAGAAGTGAGTCCCGTTCAGCATGTTCTTCTGTGCTTGGTTACAGGGTGTCTGTCCTTGCTGGTGACCGTGCAGCACACCGAGCGCTACGTCACTCTGTTTGCCTCCATCGTTCTGAAGTGCGACTACACCACCTCTGCCCAGCTCCAGGACGTGGTGGTGACTTGGCGCTTCAAGTCCTTCTGCAAGGATCCTATCTTCGACTACTACTCTGCCTGTGAGTGCCCATCCCCATCCTCCTTCTTGCTGGGTCCCAGGGTCTTCTGGGAAACTTTAGTGGTTGCAGTATAGGAACTCTTTAGGCTCACTGAAGCATAGCTTCAGAAGAAGCCACCAAGACCACCTGAAGCAGTTGTCTCATTTTATGGACAGGTAAACCAGGCTTAGGCTGATAAAAGCACTTGTTGGAGGTTTATACTCAAGTTTATGGTGTGCTTTTGGTCATAACTTGTTCTAAAAAGGCTCAAGGCAGCCCAAATCAAGTCCTTCCTTCTAGTGCTTTTCTGATCCCTTAGCAAATGCTGCTACTGCTGGGATCTTAGTGGTCCCTAGTGAAGAAAACTGCCTGCCCTCTGCCACCTTCCCTTCTGCAGCCAACCTTCCTAGCTGGTGGGTCAGCCCTCTGCTGCCTGAACACCCGCAGTGGCCGGAGTGCCTCACTGTCAACACACAACCCACGTGTACTTCCTCCTAAGTTTAGCCTGTCTTCCCATGCTGCAATAACTGTCCCACTCATGCCAGCCCACTGCTTGGAACCACAGCTCCTACCCCTACACCCCCTGCTCATTTTTGTCTTCTCTCCATGAGCAATGTAACCCAGAATCCACCATTAGCCCAGGACAATTCATCTTTTAGAAATTTGGAGCATAGAGGTAGATGGCTGGCTTGAAGGAAGGAAGTGAGTTTCCTGAGATGAGGCCAAGTAAGGAGGGAGGGACCAACATCACTCATTTTTGCCCTGGGGCCACTATCTCAGTATGATTGGAGTAGAACCACAAAACGGCCTGAGCCCCTGAGCCTCACGCTGCTCTAACAGACTCCTCTATAAATTGAGGCTTTGTTTCGTGTGTTTCTCTTAAAATCCCTGGGGTAGCGGGAAGGGAACAGAGAAGAAGGTAGCAGGCTTTGGCCATGGTGAGAGAACTCCAGAACCTGAGGGCAGGAAGGGTTATTTTTAAAATAAGACAAGGGAAGCTGGGATAAGACAGGGGATGCAGCTCCAACTTGGGAATAACAGGCTATTGGTCTAGAGTCTCATGGCTCACAGCTTTTCAGAGATTAGAATCTCAGGTTCAACCCTGGACCTGCAGAATCGGAAAGTTCAGCTAACTCTAGTGTGTCCACCTCTCTTCAGCATACCAGGCAGCCTTGTCTCTGGGCCAGGACCCATCGAATGACTGCAATGACAACCAACGGGAAGTTCGCATTGTGGCACAACGGCGAGGGCAGAATGAGCCTGTGCTGGGGGTGGATTACCGGCAACGCAAGATCACCATCCAGAACCGTGAGTGCGCGGGAGGGGAGGGGAGGACAGCAGCCTTGCTGGGCTGAGTCAGCAGGGGTTTCCCACTTTATGTCTGCTGTTTGCCTGCCTGAAGTCTGCTCGGCCATTGCCATTATTTTGAGAGAAGAGCCAGATCACACAGCGTGTGAGACCCTGGGAGTTGGTCTTTTGATCCGAGGGTGTCCTACAGCTTCAGCTTAAGAGATGGCAAGGTCTGGTCTCCTTTGTTTTCTCAAGATTGAGACTAAAGTATGCATCTAGTTCCTTTTATCCTTTCCATCAAGTTTGCACTCAGGACCTCCTAAAACCACCAATTCCCCTCTGGTCATATCTGATGTCCATCTAGAAAGAAACAGTGGTTTCTGAGTGGATAGCCACCATGAGGCCATTGTCCTCCTTTGATAGAGAAAAGACCAATAAGAAGTGTCAAGCGAGAGGCCAGTACATCTGTCCTTCCACTCACTGGCTGGGAGACCAGAGGCAAGTCAGTTATTTTCTCTGGCTTTTGTTTCTGCATCTGAAATATGAAGATTGTGTTATCTGCCTCCCCATCACCACATGTAGGACCTGTGTCTGATGCACATCTATTCTTTGTGCATGGTGCAGAATGTGATGGTGAGAGCCCTGGCTTGGCAGCCAGATTCAAGTGTGGGTCTATGCACTTGCAGATGAAAAATTTCTATACAATGGGAATTGCTAAAGTACCCATGTCATGGAGAATTAAGAGGACGAAGTGAAATGATAAGTGACAATCTTTAGGGAACAGTGAATGTGGAGTGAATGTTAGCCCTCTACACTTTGGAATGCATGGGTTAGGTCCTCCTATTCCTATCTTGTAATCCAGGATTGGTGTGCTGGGTTATTGGCCCAGGATTCAGAGCCCCTTTTAGTAAGTTTTACATAGTGGGTTTATAGGTTGTGTTCCCACAGCTACAATATGATGCAGGGTAGATTGTTGTGGGGCCAGCACTGTGGCATAGTGGTTAAGCTGCCATTGCAATGCTAGCATTCCATGAGTGTGCCAGTTTGAGTCCCTGCCGTTGTACATCTGATCCAGCTCCCTGTTAATGCAATGGGGAAAGAAAAGCAGCAAAAGATGCTCAAAGTGCTTGGGCCCTCGCTCCCACTTGAGAAACCCAGAAGACAATCCTGGCTCCTGGTTACAGATTGGCCCAACTCTGGTTGTTACAGTAGAATGAGCCAACAGATGGGAGAGCTCTCTCCCTCTTGTTCTCTGTCTCTGTTTTTCCTGCTCTCTTTTTGTAACTCTGCCTTTCAAATAAATAAATTTGGTTTTCAAAAAAGACAGATCAATAATAGGGAGCCACTTTAACAATGATACCCAATTTGGTGTGTAATACTTAGACCTGAATTGTTGACACTCAGCCTCTGATTCCCCCAGCCAATCCTTGAAGTGCTTGGCCTTAGAAATCACTAATCAGGGCCTAGTATGGTCGAGCGACTAAAGTCTTTGTCTTGAATGCACCGGGATCCCATGTGGACGCCAGTTCTAATTCCTGCAGCTCCACTTCCCATTAAGCTCCCTGCTTGTGGCCTGGGAAAGTAGTCAAGGACGGCCCAAAGCCTTGGGAGACCCAGAAGAGGCTCCAGGCTCCTGACTTTGAATTGCACAACTCCAGTTGTTGCGGCTGTTTGGGGAGTGAATCAGCAGATGTAAGATCTTCCTCTCTGTTTCTCCTCCTCTCTGTATATCTGACTTTCCAATAAAAATAAAATAAATCTTTAAAAATTTGTGTATTTGTTTGAAAGGCAGAATGATGCAGAGGGAGAGAAAGACATGCTCTTCTATCTACTGGTTCACTCCCCAAATGTCTGCAGTGGCTGGAGCGGGGTTGGTCTGAAGTCAGGAGCCAGGAGCTTCTTCCAGGTCCCTCACATGGGTGGAAACACCCAAGCACTTGGATCATCTTCTTGCTGCTTTTGCAGGTGTGTTATCAAGGAGGTGGATGGGAACTGGAGCAACCGGTACTCAAATCGGTACCCATATGGGTTGCTGGCCTTACAGGTACACTTCAGTTAAATATTCTCCTCTTGAGAGGTACGTTTTCTGTGTGCTCTTTTCTTTAATTTTTGAGTTGTACCTTCTACTACCGTCATGTCCAACAGCATTGGGTCAAATCCTGCCCCATCTCACTCTTACAGGAAGACAGTGTTTCACATTGGTTAATGTTTCTACATTCAGAAACCCTATTCTCTGACACTTTGATAGCTGTGTTTGTATCATTTGAGATGGCCTTGTGAGAGCCTTTCCTTCATCATTTAAAACATGAACATATCTGAATACCTTTATAACTCTGGCAACCACAAAATATTCTTTATGTCACCAATGAAAATTAGGTCAGCTTACAGTTTATATCAAGCTTTAAGGGGAACTTTCTTCCTAGGCACTGTGCTCATTCTTCCGAGTCTGGAGTAAATTTGTTTCTAGGAAACGTAGTGGGTTTGGAAAATTGCGAGTAGGAAAATAGCACAGAGATTGACATAGAAAGAGAAGGCAGAGTTAGCTCTCTTGTCGTGTGACCTTGCATTTTTGTTTCATTCTCTTCATAAGTATATCTTGGCAAGCACAAAAGAACAAATTGCTGATGAAACCATTGACAAGCCAGGAGCAAGTATATAATGCTTAGCTGTTTAGGAATTTGAGGATGTCCCCGGAATGCGCTGTGGGTAAGATAGCAGGTCCAGTCGTGGCCTGGAGACCTGGGGCTGTGCTGCAGCCTCTGACTGAGTTTACACCTCACCCAGGACAGAGACGATCCCCTTCCTCTTAAGATTCCCCACATTGCCAGGCATAGCATCGGCTCTCAGAAGCTCTTCATGGAGCATTTGTCAAACCTGCTAAGTTTGAACACGTGTGTTAACCATTACGATCTTTTTTCAAGTTTTATGTATATGAATCTTTTTTTAAAAAGATCCGTTTATTTATTGAAAGGCAAAGTGATGGAGAGAAACAGAGACAGAGGCAGGGAGAAGAATCTTCCATTTATTAGTTGAATCCTCAAATGGCTGCAACGGCTGGCACTGGGCCCAGCTGACGCCAGGATTTCCACATGGATGACAAGGACCCAAGTACTTGGCCCATCTTCCACTGCTTTTTTGGGAACATTAACAGGGAAAGGGATCAAAAGCAGAGAAGCTTTAAGAAATTAAGGAAGGAAGGGAGGAGAGAAGGAAGGAGGGGGAGAGAGATTTTGGGACCTTTATGTGATACTTCTTACGTTCTAGTGGTTATAACTGAGTTATTTGTCTGTCCTAAAAGAAGGTGGGAAGCAATGACTTTGGACAGATGGCTGCCTGTATGGTGAGAAGTTCTGTGACCATAGGAGAAGTGTGTTTGACACCCAAAGTGCTCTGGGAGTCGGCTAGAATTTCCATCTTACTCATGTGTGAGATTGTGGTAGCAATTAAATGAAGCAAAAAATTTAAGAGTACCAAGTGGAACTCAATAAATTGTCCATTCTGCCATAATTGTACTGTTGGATAAAGAGGAAAAGGAGCTTTCTCTGAAGTACCATGGTTCTTCTCAGGATGTAGATGAATAATGCTGGGGGCTTGTAGCAACCTGGAATCAGAATCACTGGTACTTTCTTTCCCTGTTCTGTAGGAGCTGACCTTGTGATTAATGAAGTGATGTGGTGGGACCACGGAGTGTATTATTGCACCATTGAAGCTCCAGGAGACACATCAGGAGACCCAGATAAGGAGGTGAAGCTCATTGTCCTGCGTAAGTGCTGTTGGAATCTTCCATTTGTTCACCCCATTGCCATAACATGATCACAAGGAAAAAACAATAGCAAAAAACCCCACAACATCAGATCATGAACTGCTGAAGTTTCCTCCTTGAAGTTCATTATTTTTTTGCTTGTATATTGTCTGACATTAACCTGTAGGTCAAGAGTTATGTACTAGACCTCTAGAATGTAAGACCTGGATGCGTTCCTTGTTCATCTTCAGCTTGCCCATGCCCGGATTCTCCCCCTACAGACTGGCTGACTGTGATCTTCATCATCCTGGGTGCCATCCTCCTCCTGATACTGATTGGTGTGTGCTGGTGCCAGTGCTGCCCTCAGTATTGCTGCTGCTATATCCGTTGCCCCTGTTGTCCCACCCGCTGCTGCTGCCCTGAGGAAGGTGAGAGAGAGCATGGTATTAGGGCCCTAAGTCCCAAGCAGATTGACTTCCAATGCCAAGGGCATGGTTTTTCCAGGTCCTCTTTCCAGGTTTGCCTAGGTCGTGAAAATGATATTGGAGACACTAAAGAACCACATAGAAGGTAGCAGATATAAGGACTTCTACCTGTCTACCTTCTAGGCTGCTTAAAGCCTCCTTCAGATAGCTCCACCTGTTGCTGCTGTTTTCTTAATAGTGCTGATAGACTCATGCTTTGGTCTTTGATTACTGACCTGACTTGGGTCTTTAGTGGTTAGGGACTGGTTTTATTGAAATAATGAGAATACCACTTGTTTTACAAACACTTAAATTTTATGCTGCACTCAGGAGCCACTCAATATAAAAGCTAAAAAATATATATTTATTTTGGAGACAGAGTTACAGAAAGAGAGAGATCTTCCATCCATGGTTCGTTCCCCAAATGGCCACAACAACTAGATCTGGGTCATACTGAAGCAAAGCCAGGAGCTTCTAGTTTTCCCACATGAGTGCAGGAGTCCAGTCACTTGAGCCATCTTCCAATGATTTTCCAGATATGTTAGCAAGGAGGTGGATCATAAATTAAACATCTGGGACATGAACTAATGATAATATGGATTATTGGTGTGGCAGGCAGTAACTTTACCCATTGTGACATAATACCAACCACTCAATACAACACTGTTGACATCAGGTGTGTGTCTGTTGGGGGAAAGGGGATTGCCCTACACACCAAGCAATTCTCCAATAGGCACTGAAGGAGTATTTTGAATTTTAGCTCAGATCTAATACTATCTGGAGCCAGCACCAGGGCATAGTAAGCTAAACTTCTGCCTGCAACACTAGCATCCCATTTGGGTATGAGTTCCTGTCCCGGCTGCCTCACTTCCAATTCAGCTCCCTGTGTATGTCCTGGGAAGTAGTAGAGGATGGCTCAAGTCTTTGGGTCCTTGCACCTATGTGGGAGCACTCTATATGGGAGACCTGGAGAAAGCTTCTGACTCTTAGCTTCAGATAGGCTCAACTCCATCCAATAAGGCCATTTGCACAGCAAATGGAAGACATTTTTCTGTCTGTCTATCTCCTCTCTAGAACTCTGTCTTTTAAATAAAAATAAAATAAATCTTTAAAAAAATTCTGACACTCTCTCTTTGAAATTAGTATTAGATCTCATAGGTTGAGGGCCAAGACCCACAGACTGTCTCCACTTCAGATGCCAATCACTAGTAGTAGGTGGTCATTACAGGTAGGTTCTGACGAACTAACTGTGGTACTCTAGTTCTCACAACTGCCTCCTCAGTTTAATTTGCTGGAGTGTACTCATTTGTTACACAGGCTATTTTAAAGGAGACCCCATGAACAGCCAAATGAGGCAGTATGCAGGGCAGGGTAGGCAGGAAGAAGTCTGGAGCCTCGAGGCCTTCCCAAGGTGCACCACACTCAACATCTGCACACATTCAGCTACCAGGCAGCTCCTTGAACCTAAGTTTTTGAGAGGCTTCATGGGATGAGTATCATTAGTGAAAACTATGGGTCTTTAGTGATCACCTCAGCCTTCAGTCCCAGGAAACTAGAAGGCGGGGATGAAAGGTCTGATCTTCTCGTACTTAACCTTCCTAAGGACCAGCCCCAGCCCCAAAGTTGCCTGGATGCAGGCAGCAGTCCATGAATGCATTAGGCCTGAAGAGAGAGACATCAAGGACACTGTGGAGATGCTACAGGTTTTAGAAGCTGTGTGCCAGAAACCAGGGGCAGGGACCACATGTGTGTTTCTCATTCTATTACAACATCACAGCACTTTTTAGAGGTGACATAAAAAGAACAGAACAGATGAGAAATGTGCCAGAGTAATAGATCTCAGACTAAAGCTTGCCTTACTAGAACACAGAGGGCTTATTCCAACAGAATTGCCCCCCGCCTTCGGAGGCTCTGACTTAGCTGGCTTAGGGTGTTGGGGCCTAAGAACTTGCATTTCTGAAACATTTTTACATCATGCGATGCTGTCAGTCCAGGGACCACACTTTGAGAGCTCTTATGTTATCGAGTGGAAGATCTTTCTGTGGGTATGATCTTTGCTTGGACTTAAAACCAATCCTTTAGAGCAGAACTGTAACACTTCCCAAAATAATTTGGCTGCAGAATACATGGTAAAAGCAAAAGAAAACACATTACAATAAAGATCTTTTCTTAGGAAATTCATGGAGTAAAATCAGTTGCCTTAAATGGAAAACGCTTTTATGTTTTGTTGGGAAAGGACTACATTATAGGCTATTTGGGAAATTCAGGAAAATGTCGACTAATCTGAGCACCCAGAGAAAGCCATTCTTTTCATCTTGGTCCACTTGGGGAAAAAAAACCAGAAAACAAAACAAACAAACAAACAAAAAAAACCCACTGTTTTTCAAAAGGAATTTCCTGTGAAGCTAGAAACAAAACTTCCTCCTTAAGAAGGTCAGCGGTCTGCGTCTGGTTTCAGGTTGTACTCTGAAGTTGCCATGTTACAGGAAAGGAGAACTACCTGTTGTTAGACACCTACTGTGTGCAGACCCTTTGCATATATTTCCTCACTGAGGCTTGCCAACAACCCTTGAAGGCAGATATCATCCCTGTTGAAAAGACAAGGAAACTACAAGACAAGCCACACAGTTAGTAAATGGCAGCATTCCATCTGCAGAGCTGAATCCACACTAATCTGGCTTAAAAGTATCTGTATTGCCTGCAGCAGGAGCTTCCCCAGCTCTGTGGGGCAATCTCTATGGGACTGACCGAGCTAGTGTGAGCTCCTTCAAGAGGGACTATGAGGGGCCTCCCAGAGAAGGACCCTGGAGAGGTCCCTGTCCCTGGAGCAATAACAGGTAGGATAAGAGGATGAGAATCCACTGGATGCCACCATAGAACTCCTAGTGCATGGGGTACCACACTCTGGCAAGACTGGGGACAAACGTAGCACAAATCAGAATTGTGCTCAGAATCAGATGTCCTGGGAGAAAATGGCTTCTCCCAAGAGCAAATGTGCAGTTCACAGTCAATGATCGCTGGACCGGAGCTGCTGGAATCACTTGCCAAGTGAGTCATGAGTGTAAACTGTCCTGTGTGAGTGATAGGAGGAATTACTTGAAGGAGTAGGAATTCTTAAGGAAAACCCATGGCATAACCCTAAGCAGAATATAAGCAACCAGCCAAGGTCAATAGCGGTGAGTAAAACGAAGTATCAAAAAATGAGGTGATGACTTGCCTCAGAAATGGAGGGGTAGGTAGCCTGACCTCTGAAGAGTCAAAGGAAGTCATTAAGATGTTAAGGATCCATACGGTGTAAGGGAGGAAGCTGAGCAAGTTCACTACGGCATGCCGTGATTTCGGTAAATCAGAGTGCTAGACCCAGAAGTGAAACATCAAGATGGAGATCAGCGATTTCAACTTTTGCAACCACAGCCCACCTTTCCAGCTTGCTGCCACTTTCCAGGATGGGAGAGGAGAAAAACGAAAATAACATTGTATATTACTAAGCCTTGGTAATCCATTTAATACTAGTAAACTTAAACATGAATCGATCAAAATCCAACTTTCTTGTTCCCATGAGGTCTGGAGAAGCAGCTTTCAGCCTGAGCCCTCCTCCCCAGAGAGCCTGTGGGCATAGCCCACAGCAGGCCACAAGTCACACAGAGGTTCTTCCCCTCCCCCCACAGCTAAGGAATGTGAAGGCCAGTTGACTCTCCCACCATGACACAGGGCTTGTTAGAAGTGGGCCTTCCTCACTGTACATGTAGGGCTAGTATTTGTCCTAAAGAAAGATGTGGTCAGCCAAAAGTTCATGAGGAAGGGAAGGCAGAAGTGAGGGTGTTGAATCTGTTGCTGTGAAGAGGGAATTTGTGTTGAAAATGTCAATCAAGGAAGTCCTATTAGGATATGGGGTGGGTTACTTGAGTTCAATTGTTTGGGGCCAGAAGCATCTGATAGTGGTTCCCTAATGTCCAAATGGCAAGAGTTCACAGGGGGAAGGGATTCTAGGAAACTCCTGAGGATGTCACCAAAATGACTGGCCAGACATGTCACAAGGGATTGGTACTTTCAGAAAAAGTGAAAGTGAGTTACTGAGCATGAGTCAAGAGGAAAAGGATGAGTTCCTGAGAGCGGTGATGGGTTGACAAGAAAGGGTAACAAATTGTGGGCAAGTGAAATTGGCACAAGTTCCAGATGGTGATGCATGCAGGCCAGGCAAGACTCTGAAAGCAGACAAGATGTCATTACAGTCACAGGATGTGCCCTAGGCTTTGCTCAAAGATGAGTATTAACATGTTGTTGGTGGTTTAGTCTCCCTTTGTGCTTTCATCTCTTCCTATGGGAGTGAAGGTGGAAGAAGTAACTTGTAGCCTCAGGAGTCATTACCTGTTGTCTTCACTATGCACTGAGCATTTTGCATCTACTACATTATTTCATCTCAGCATCTGAGGGCGTAGCTATTATTATCATCAGTTCATAGATTGGGCTCAAAAACTCGATGTCACACAGCTAGTACATGCTGGGATTTCAGGTTGAAGTCCCACCTAAAGCTCAGAGACCCATCCCTGAGGGCCATATTTATCGAATATTGTTGAGAATCCCCATCAATCAACTTCAAGTTGATGCCATTGAACTCAAGGAGATTGCCAAAGCAATTGCTGAAGATGGGACAAAGACCTATTTCTTCCTAAATGGCTGTAACAACCAGGGCTGTGCCAGCTGAAGCTAGAGGCCAGGAACTTCATCTTGGTCTCCCACCTAGACGCAGGAACCCAAGCACTTGGACCATCTTCTGCTTTTCCCAGGCCATTAGCAGGGAGCAGGGAGTTGGATTGGAAGTAGAGCAGCTGGAACTCAAACCCTTGCCCATAGGGGATGTCAGTGTCACAGGCTGTGGCCTTACCCACTATGCCACATCCCCAGCCCCAGATGGCAGCTTGTTTTAACCTGCTACACCATAACACTGGCCCCAGGGATCTGTATTTTTAACAAGCTCCATACAGATAACTGGGGTAGACTGTACTCCCCTGACTTTCAGAAATCATGTATTGGGAATCTAAGGAAACATCATGACTTTTTCCATGCTGCTCACATGTATTGTCTGTCTGATCCCCAGAGGAGCAGCCACTATCCCTGATCATTGAGACATCCTGTGGGACTATTTCTGGGGGCAGAATTGGAAAATAGAAACTTAGAGGCTGTGTGTCTTCCATGTCATTGGTTCTAGTACAGCAAGGAAATGAAGGACCCTGAGGAAGCGTCTGTAAAGACTAAGAAGGGAACATTCAGGTTCATTCTAGAAAATTCAGGAAAAAATGACAGAAAAGCTAATGGGAGATCTGGATGGGGATTGCTATTGAGTTATCTTTACAGGGGATCCTATCAATGAAAAAAAAAAGTCATTTGCAAATAAGGAGGATGCCCAACTTACACTTTTAGTTTTACCATGTATTTTGTAGCCAAATGACTTTAGGAAATGGTATAGCTCTTAGAGTCTAAAGAAAGACCACATAGAGAACAGGATCTTCAGCTCCCTCTTTCTTTCCCCTAACCATAGATTTTCAAAGTGTGGCCCCCTCAGACCAGCAACAGCACATCACTTGAGAGCGTTTTAGAAATACATATTCTTGGGCCCCACCCCGGACCAAATGAGTCAGAATCTGAAGGGCGAGGGCTGGCAATTCTGCTTGAATAATGAACCCTATGTAATAAAGCTTCCCTAAAGCCTTCCAAAGAACTACTGGGACACAGGAATAAGATAGCTGAGGCTGTGGTGCCATGTGAAGAAGCCAGGGTCCAGTAAGAGGGGCAGGGGCTTCTCTACTTGGTGGAATCCTCAGTCTCCAGCCCTCCAAGAGAGACCTGGGATTGCAGAAGGGATAGTATTGAACTGTAGATCAAAGTTGGAGGTGTCCTGGGAAGGACTGTGTGGCTTCCTCAGAGAAAGAGAGGAGTCATTGGGACCTGAGGATGTGGCACAGAGTGTCAGCCTGGGGGCCAGACAGAACCTGCTGATGTCCTATTTCTGCCCACTCTGACCATGGCCACTGAGCCAAACTTCCTCATGGGAGTCCCCGCTGGAAGAGACCACCCAGAGGATGAGGTAACTTCTGTGGAGCCACTGGCAAACAGAACACTAGCTTGGTGTTGGTGACCAGCAGGAGGAGCTGGGGCAGGCGTGCAGAACCTGTGGATTTGGCTTGAGAGCAGCTGGCGACTGGTAGTTGACATGAAGGTATGGAAGCCGTGGGAGCTGCTGTAGATCAGCTTTGGATTCTCTGCAGGCTAGGCTGTGACACCCCCATCCATTTTCTGGCTGGAGCTCAAGACCATTCTGGGGGCGCTGCTGCAACCACTTTTGTTGTATTGTCAATCTGTCACACAGGTGGTCCCTTCACTGCTGCTGGCCTTGGCCAACTCCTTAACCTTGTCTTGCTGGATGCAGAATGCCTGATTCCTCTCCCTTCCTTCCTGTGCCAGGAAACAGCATCAGGCACAGCCCTGCTTAGGGTTGGCCACAGGACGCTGGGGAAGAGAGAAGGGTGTGGAGTCCAGGGTCAAGGGCCTGTCATTCATAGCCCACGGCAGGTACTTCCTGTGCTTAACCATGCAAGTGCATTTCCTACATGCATGGATAACCAGAAACCTTAGGAGTCATGTGGTGCTTGGCCACAGGGACCTCAAAATAGAAATTCATGAACAAAAACAAATAAATGCTTTTGTTTTTAATTTGCACTCCCTTGGGGGGTGTTGTATGCGTTAGACTGGCTGCACCTAGGGGACAGCGGTGACATTTCCATGGACCCTTGTATTCGTGTTATATGTGATTTTCTTTGCCATGAAAGGAATTGATATTTCCCTTTCTCCTTCCTTTTCCCCACTCCCTTTAGAGATTCCCCTGCTTAGGGAAAGCCCCAACATGTAGTGTGATGAGAAGAGTAGAAAGGATCCACTGGAATTCATTTCAGCTTCTTGCATGCCCCTGCCTTCCTCCTTTGGTGACCTTCTTATCCAGGGCTGGAGCACCTGCTAGAAACACTCTTGGTGGAGTAGTTCTGTCCATTGGCTTCAGCACTGTACCCTTCTCTTCTCTTGCTCTAAGCACCCAGCCCTGAGCTTGTCTGGCATTGAGTGCCCCAGCCCCTGTCTCACAGCCTCCTCAAAGCCTTTTGTACCAGCACCTTCTGTTTCCAGCCTGTGGCCTCTGGCGTTGTTGGCCTGGACCGCGAGGTATCATTGCCTTCTGGGATCCATGTGTCTATCTATGTGATTTTGGTGGCCTTGGGAATACGCAGGATGATGCAAAGGTTTTGAGGCCCTGAAATCAGGTCTTATGAAACGCTCTTCATGCGGCACAGGAGTGGCGCTCTTGCATACTGGCCCTTTATTTGCAGCACTTTGCCAGGATGAAGGTTATTCTGCTGCTCCTTTCAATCCTATTCCCATCTGAGATAAGTGGCTTGGAGGAGAGAGGCTAGCCTCTTGCAAGAGGGCTGGACGGAGAGAAGTGAAGTGGGGTGGGGGCATACCCTAGGCTGAGGGTCTGCATTTGTGCTTCTTCCCTGCAGTCCTGGCCCGCCACCGCTACCTGAAGCAGGCTCGGGCTCTAGGTCCTCAGATGATGGACAAACCCCTGTCCTGGGGGGCGGACAGGAGCTCCCAGGTGTCATCTTACCCAATGCACCCGCTGCTGCAGCGAGGTAAACTTTGCCAGAGATCTGGGATCGGGGGCCGGGGGAGGGCAAGAGCATGATGGGCTGTACTGCCACCTCCATGACCAACATGGTCCTCCTGGTAGAAAAACAGGAGCAAGCAGAAGTAAGCTGACAACCAGCATGTTGATGTCTCTGTCCCAGGGGCCACGTTTGGGGGGCCAGCAGCAATTCTGCATGATCTGTTCTGTGTTTCTGTTCAGATTTGTCCTTCCAGTCCAGCCTCCCACAGATGCCAATGACCCAGGCCCCCACACACCCTTCTGTCAACAACAGTGTTCTGGAATATCTGGAGAAAGAGCTGCGGAACTTCCACCCGGCCCAGCCTCTGCCTCCTGACACCAAGGCCAGACTTGCACCCCCATGCAGCCTGCTGTCCTCGTTGGGCTCCGAGGTGGTGGAACGCAGAGTCATCCACCTGCCCCCACTGATCAGGGAGGTGCCATCTTCTCGGGCAGCCAGCGATTCCTCACGCCAGCAGTGGCTCAGCCCTGTTGCCTCCAGACCCTGGGATCTCAGGGAGGGAAGACAGCACCATAACTCTGATTTCCATCAGGAGCCCCAGTACTGCAGCCCAAGGCCCAGGGGGAGGCAAAGAAGAGAGCTGGATTACCCTCGGAGTGTAAGGCACCCAGGCCCCAGACCCTGGTCCGATGGGGACAGCCTCAGCGATGGCCAGTCGTCCTGGGAAGCCCATCGGAGACCCAGCCGGCCCCCTCTCCGCAGCCACCGAGACTGGGACTGGGACCGGGACTGGAACCGGGATCGGGACCGGGACCGGGAGCGGCAGCGACCCCGCAGGTCCAGCTCCTTGCACAAAAACAGCCAAAGGCGCGGTAGACGCAGGCCCCGCAGCTACTCCCCTCCTCTGCCCTCCGACCTCAGCTCCTGGAGCTCAGAAGAGGAGGAGAAGGAGCGGCCCCCAAGCTGGGGCACCCACAGCCGCCATCGCCCTCGCCCTCGCTGCCGTCGCTCGCTCTCCCCACCCTGGCCGGAGGAGAAGCCGCCCAGCTACAGCTCACTGGATGACACTCCAGGCAAGAATGGCAGGCAAAGAGGGAGTGTGGAGAGGCGCTCGGTGAGCCTGGGCATCCCACTGAGGGTCGGGCGGGGGGCTGAGACTCCTGCCTGTGTGGGACCAATCCCCCCCCCCCATCTAACCCAGCAAGTGAGCAAGAAAGGAACTTAGTGGAGGCTGCTAGCGGGGCTTCTGGCAAAGGGGAAATCAGGCGCTTTGCGGGTAGTAGAGCTGGGACTTGAGGGCAGCCCTGCCCTTCACGGCTCTGTCTCCTGCCCCAGCTGCCTTGCTCTACTTAGTAACCTATTTCCATACTCAAAATTAGAACAGGCAGCCCGACAGGACGAATCAGCACGCATAGCTCTGGTGAGGTGCCTGTGAGGGTGAGGCTCTTGGAGATGACCCTGGAAAGAGCCACTCAAGTGATGAAAACGTTAGCAAGGAGCTGGATCAGAAGTAGAACAGCCAGGAGTTGACCCAGAGCCCATAGAGGATGCGGGCACTGCAGGCAGTGGTTTTACTTCTGATGTCACAGGGTGGGCTCTTGTGCTTTTGTTTGTTTGTTTTTATAGTTTGTGTTATATCGTAATTTATTTCTTCCTGAACACTTACTTTAGCATTCAGTTGGTGTTTTTAATTCTTTTTTGTTACTTATTATTATTATTTTATTTTGATGATCTTTGCATAGTTGATTAGGGTGTAAAGGGTAATTTTGTTTTTTAAAAGATTAAAACTTGTGAAAGATTTGTTTCTTTTAAGGTTTATTTTTTTAAAAGATTTATTTTATTTTTATTGGAAAGTCAGATATAAAGAGAGGGGGAGAGACAGAGATGAAGATCTTCCATCCGATGATTCATTCCGCAAGATGTTTTAACGGCCAGAGCTGTGCCAATCTGAAGCCAGGAGCCCGGAACTTCTTCTGGGTCTCTCATGTGGGTGCAGGGTCCCAAGGATTTGGGCCGACCTCGATTGCTTTCCCAAGCCATAAGCAGGGAGCTGGGACATAAACTGGCACCCATATGGGATTAGAACCGGCACCCATATGGGAATCCCAGTGTGTTCCGGGCGAGGGACTTTAGCTGCTAGATCACTGTGCCAGGCCCAAGGTTGATTTATTCTTTAGCGATTTATTTTTATTTGAAGGCAGGGTCACAGAATGAGGGAGAGACAGAGAAAGAGTTTCCATCCACTGGTTCATTCTCCAACTGGCCAGAAAAGCTGGAGCTGGGCTGATACAAAGCCAGGAGTCTCCTACAGGTCTCCCACATAGGCGCAGGGGCCCAAGGACTTGAGCCATTTTCTGCTGCTTTCCCAGGCTGTTAGCAGGAAGATGAGTTGGAAGAGGAGTAGCAGAAGAGGAACTGGTACCCATATGGGATGCCGGTGCAGCAGGTGTAAGCTTAGCCTTTCCCCTGACCAGTAAAACTATTTCATAAACAATCCACCAGTGCACTGGTCACGATTTGCTGCCTCTGCTCAAAATCATTACTGAATGTCCCAGACCCACCTTCGAAGCTGCCCATGAAAATCCCTTCTCCATGGCCAAATCCTTTGACTTATGTAGCAATCAGTCAAAGGCTGTTCTCTCAGCAGACTGTGCAGGGAGTCCACAGGGTGAGGGGTACTGAAAGAATTGCCCTGGCTTGCCAGCTTGGAAGATGGTGCTTTTCATTTGGAAGTAGGTGTTCTGCTTGGAGTCTTCTGAAGCCAGCCAGGCCCAGAGGACTTTGTAAGGGGCAGTGATAGTCTAGCATCCTCTGTTTCTCAGCTAGCTGAGACCCAGAGCAGCAATGGTGCATATTGAGATGGTATGGAGCTGTGGCTCTCAGGGGTGCTGCATCTTGGCTAACCGTGCCAGCCCTGTGACGGGTATAGTGTCAACCCGAGATGGAGCACCTGTCACTTCCATCAAACCAGGGAGGAAGAAAACACAGAATCAGCGCAAGCTGGGACAACTGCCCTCGCTTTACTCCTACAGTAGCCAAATCACATCTCTTCATTTGAACAACAACGAAATATACTGTTCAAATCAGTTTGGAGCCTGCAATCCAAACCCTGTGTTCTCCTAAGTCATTTTTCCCTTTATTTAAGTATATGGCTTCTAGTAGGAACAATTTATAAAAGGAACAGCAGTTGGCGGGAGGTCAGGGAGGAGGTGTCTTTCTGGTTCCTGTTGTATTTGATCCTCATATCAACCTCGGGAAACTCAGAGAAGTCAATTTATGTGTCCAAAACCACACAGCCCGTAGGCAGGGGAGCCACAGTTTGAAAATAACTCTCTAAACCATCTGCTTTTTCTCCTTAACTTCATGCTGCCTCCTTGGAGAAAAATGTTGAAGCTGGCCTTGTGGTATAGTGGGTTCAGCTGTCACCTACAAACTCTGGCATCTCGTATGGATGCTGGTTTCTGTTCAAGCCGCTTTACTTCTAATTCAACTCTCTGCTAATGTGCCTGAGAAAAAAGCAGAAGGTGGCCCAAGTTCTAGGGACCCTGCACCCATGTGGGAACCCTGGAGCCGTGTGGGCTCCTGGCTTTAGCCTGGCCCAGCCCCAGCTGTTGCAGCCATCTGGGAGTGAACCAGCAAATAGATGATCTCTCTGTGTCTCTATCTCTATCTCTCCCCCTCTCTCTGTAAGTCTACCTATTAGGAAATACATATTTTGCTTAAAGCAACCTCAGGCAATGATCATATTTTTCTGAGGTCTTATTTCTTCCTCACTTATTTTAGCACTGAGATGTATACAATAACAATTCTCTCACTCCTCCCTCTCTCACACATACGTCATATTTTCAATTAGAAATAAACTGAGCATCAAAGGTTTGTTTGCAAGTTTGAAAAGCCTCTCAAAGAGTCATTGCTTTACTTCAGCATATCCAGCTATCCATTCCTGTTCCAGCGGGGACCAGAAACCCAGGTCAAAGCTTGACCTGGCAGTTTGGTTAGTTCGAAGGATACAGGGGTTTAATTTGTTTGTAGCTTGAAATTGAAATGCCTTCCATGGGACAGAATGTCTCTATGGTCATAGTCTTTCCCTTCCCACTCTCCTTACCAGTTACTTTCCCAATCTGAAGTCACTACAGCTTGCAGTCAAGTTCAAACATCATGATGTCAGTGGACCACTAGATGGGGATCTTCTGCCATAGATCTTTGAAGTGTGTGCGTTTCCTCTTTGAGACTCCACTTTGGGGCCTTCTGCATTAGAACTGTGGCATGCTTTTCTTTCTTTTTACAAAAGATTTAGTCAAAAGAATTCCCTGAGTATTTTATGAAGGACGAGTTAAGCAAAAAGTGTTTGGGGTCCCATGGAAACTTCTTTCCGAGTAATGTATTCAGTAATAACAAAGTCTTTCATGTGGATGAGCTCATAGACACTTGAAATTGGTCAGGAATATTCTCTGCTCAGTGCCCACGAGAACATGGATGTTGCATGGAGTTTATTAAGAGACCCGCCATACACACACTCCCAGTCTAAGGTGAGATAGCCTCGCTTCAAGGGTTAAAGATCTTTTTTATTTTACTGACACTATAACCTCAGTTCTATGCAAAGCAGCACTTGAAGCTTTAATTCTAGTTGTTGTTCACTGAGTGGCCTCCTTCAACTCAATTGCCTTTTTTTCCAATCCTGCTGTGTTGGATTGGACTTTACAAGGCATTTCCGGCTTGTTCCAAACTTGGCCTGTAAACTTTCCTTTCTCTCTAACTCAAATTTTCCATAGTGATTTCCATTTTTTTCAATACCTGCCCCCATGACTTTTTGATTTAACAACAATAAAAAAGTTATTTAGATTTTTAAAAAGTCTTTCCATAAAATGTTTACTCCTTGATCCTGTCTATGTTTTCCTTGAGTGAGCTCTGGACATTCCCTGTTTTGTGATTTTCCTTGGTGGTCAGAGACTATTTGGGAATCATGTCTCCTAGAACTTATTCTTCTGATAAATTAGAAGCAGAGGTTTTCAAAGTTACAATGGGAATATCCATACATATGAGATGCATCGCCTACAATACATAGTTAGGGAAATGGGAAATGTAAACTGTATTCCTTATCTTCACTGAACAAGTGGGACAAATCTAAACACCAAGTGGAGTAGCTTCTAAAGAAAAGTTATTAAGTTTGATTTAAAAGAGGTAATCAGTGATCTTGGGAAAAACAATGAAGTCCAGTGAAATGCTAAGGTATGATGTTGATGTTTCCAGAAAAGGGCTGGGAAGAAGTAAAAGGCTCGAGAGAGCATAGCTAAGAAAAAGACGCCTGGATCAGTCACGTCCTCATAGAAGAATGGCACAAAGCGTCAAATGATGAAAACAGTCTTTTTTTTTTTTAAGTCTGGAGACTTACAGATGTTTTTAAAAAGAGCTAGAGTGAATAAGACTAAAAACTTTTCAGAATTTGATGGCTATAGAGAGGTTGCAAAGAAGAGATGCAAAAGTTTGAGGAAGAGTCTGGCTCTGTGAAGAGTTAAGAAATATTGTGTAGCTTCTGATCTCCCATCCCAGCAAGCCTGCAGTTACCTTGGGCTTGTGACAACCCTCCAGTGTGTAGTAGATGCTGGCTCCTGGCTAACTGTGTTGTGTGTATTTGTGTGTATTCTATTCCTCAGGAGAGAGAAAGCTCCCGTAGTGGAAGAAGTGTGATCATTTAGTCACCTGGCCTGGCACTGCTTCCTGTGGCTACTTCACAGCTCTCCCATGTCACATCTGGGACCTCAACTTTCCAGCTGACAGAAGAACACCTGAAAGTCCGTATCTAACAATTTTGGATTCGATCCTGAGAATCAAACAGCTGAAGCCCAAAAGCAAGAGCTTGAGGAATGAGTGACCGTAGTGGTAGCCTTGGTCCACACTCTCTGCGCATAGTCTGACTTGTAATGGATTTTAGCAGAGTTATGATCCTTCAGGAGCTCGGTAGCCTGAGCCTTTAATTGAGTCCCATGGCTCAGGAATGTCGAAGAAACTGAGCATGTTCTCCAGAAATGGGCACACCTTTGGCGGGGTGGAGGGCAGGGGCTGGAGGAAAATTATCCTGGGAAGCCATCTTCCTCTTGTATTATCTTGAGCATCCCTCTTGGTTAAGCATCCGCCATGCCAGGTCCTCAGTGCTCCTGAGGCCCCAGTGAGAGGTGGCACAGGAATACTCCTGCCATGTGCCCTGGACTGGGCTATTTATTGGAAGTGCACAGAATTAAGAAATAGTTTTGCACCAGCCTTACTCCTGCCCTGTTTCCCTCCTGTTCTCCTCCCTCTCCATCGTCTAACTTATGTTTTCTTAAATATTATGTATTCATTTAAAAAGACACTTTATAAATGCTTCTTAGGAACAACATAGTGTAAATGTAATTAAAAAAAAAAAGACATCAGACATATTTGCTTTGCTACTCGAGTGTATCTGCTTGGATGAATCCTCCTTCTTCCCTAAAGTGCCGAGAAGAGCCAGGACCATCTGGGTAGCTCTGCTGGCACCGTGCAGCCTTTCAGAGCAGAGAATTCCCAGTCACATCCAGGCAGCTCTTGGCACCCCCAAGGTTTTGGAGAAAAGGGCTGTGCTCTCTGTAGTAACAGGCTCCACCACTCCTCCTGTGGGCTGCAGCCCCTTTGGTGGCTGCATGCATCCATTTATACCTGAGATGAATCCTCCCTGAATAGAGGTGTGTGTTTGTATGTGTTCTTGAGCTGTGTTCTCATGTGTATGGCCTGAAGTTCTAGTTAAATCCCCCTGACATATTCATCCTCCCGCCCTCTGCCTTATTAATTTAATCACATGGTCAATGCCCATAATAGACAAATGTTTCTTTCAGGTTTTCAATACCTATAGTAAGGAGTTTTAAATGGGCAAAACGGGAAAAAAATACAATCTTTCAGCAGAAAATGTAGACATAAAAATCAATAGGTAAGGGACTTCTGGTCTGGACAAGATGGCATAGCCCCACTTATTCCCAACCCCTCCCCCACTGTTTAGAGCTCTATAAATCCAGGGAATAGCACAAAATACTACCAGAGGAGGACTCTGCAAAGGATCAGCTAGCATGGAAAGCAACACCAGACGCACAGCACAGAAGTCAGCATCCTCCTGTGTCCCCGAGTAGTAGGAGGCATTTCCTGACTTCCTCTGTAGCCATGCAGGAAAGCTAGGTAGCCCATCATTGTCCCTGGATCCAACAAAGTCTCTCTAGCAATCTCAGATGAGAGGACTCCTGGAGAACCATGGCAAAAATATGTGACCAAGGGGAAAACCCACTCATTCCCTGCTGGCCAGAGACTCCTTTTCTCTTACAAGTGATAATACAATGCAAAGGAGATATGAGTAAGAGAAAACAAGAATAATTTGTTGAGGAATAACTATAGGCTAGAGCCTCTCATCTCCCGCCCAGAGACATGAGGGCTGAAGATTAGAACCAGGGAAAAGCACCTGTCACCACAATTAGCAGCCTTGTCATGGAAGGCGCTCTGTGGAGTAAGGACCCTCCCACAGAAACTGAGGCAGCTGGAAATCACCAAGAGAAAGATTCCCCCACTCCCCTCCCTGCCTGAGCAATGGCTGGCAATCCACCCAGGGGAGTTCCTTCTGCCGCTTCAGGTAGCACCATGTGAGACTAGGGAGGCCCCAGCAGAAGACCAAAGTTAGGCAAGGACCTGAAAAAATCACCCTGACATTGGGATCACAGCCCACAAAAGCAAACAACCTGCATGTCAAACATAAGCATGGTGACTTCCTGTAAAATATTTAAGTTAGAGCAGAGTCTCTTAATATAGCAGGCAAAATGTTCAGAAAAACCAAAAACCAAGAAAATCACAAATTGAGTAAAGCAGGAAATCCCTGTTGCCAACACTGAGATGAATCAGATGTTGAAATTATTCAATAAGAATTTTAAAGCAAGAAAAAAAAATGACTTTAAAGCAAAAATCATGAAAACATCAGAACAGTTGATTACAAGTTCTCTTGAAACAAATGAAAAGCCAGGAAATCTCAAAGTTACATTCTAAAAAGTGAACAAGTATAGACTGGGAACTATAACAGAAATTTAAAGCAATAATTTTAACAGTAGAATAGTCATAATGGAGCATAGACTGTAAGGATGTGGTGACAGAAGGAAAACAGACTGAAAAAAATGACCAAAGCTCAGGGAACTATGGGACAATAATCACACATCCAACATGTGCGTAGCTAGAGTTCCCGAAAGTGAAGAGGAAAAGTGGGAGGGTGTTGAGTGAATATTTGGTAAAAGAGTGGCTGAAAAAAAAAATCTCAAATTTGGTGAAAAATATCATCTGAGTGCCTCAAGAAGCTGAATGAATTCCCAAACAGGGCAAATTCAAAGAACTCTGTCCCAAGATAATTAGGATTTGAAAGCTAATAATGGGGCCTAGCACAGTAGTCTAGCGGCTAAAGTCCTTGCCTTGTACGTGCCAGGATCGCATAGGAGTGCCAGTTCTAATCCTGGCGGCCCCGCTTCCCATCCAGCTCCCTGCTTGTGGCCTGGGAAAGCAGCTGAGGACGGCCCACAGCCTTAGGAGCCTGCACCTGCATGGGAGACCTGGAAGAGGCTCCTGGCTCCTAACTTCAAATCGGTACAGCTCTGGCCATTGCAGTCACTTGGGGAGTGAATCAACGGACAGAAGATCTTCTCTGTCTCTCCTCTTCTATATATGAGTTTACAGTAAAATTAAATAAATCTTAAAAAAAAAACCTAAGGATGAACAAAAATTGCTGTAGGCAGCCAGAGAGAAATAGTGCATTATCTATAGTGGAACACAAATTTCTATTTCTCAGATAAGACAATGGCTTACTTCTTTTTGTTGTTGTTAGTATTTTGGAGAGACCAAGGAAGAAAGAGCATCCCCAACTACCTGTTCACACCCCAAATTCCCTTTGTCTTGGGTGGGGAGGCCAAGGCTGGGAACAAGGAATTCAGTCCAGGCTCCCATGGCAGTGGCAGTAATCCAGTAATTGAGCCAAAACCACTGTTCCCAGTGTCCACAAGGGCAGGCAGCTAATTACCATCAGGATAGAGTTGGGCATGGAAGTCTTTGTGGGCTTCAGCATTGCGATCACTGGACTAAATGCTCACTCTTAAATATTTTTTAAAGTGCTAAGAGAACGCTATCCTCTCAACTCCTTATCTGGCAAAACTACCACTCAAGATGAAAGGGAGAGAAAAGCATTCATAGATGAATAAAAATATAAGATTTTATAACTATTAGACTCCGCTTTAAAAATAATGTCTTAAATTCTTCAAACACAAGGAAGTGATTTTTTTTAAGATTTATTTATTTTTACAGGGAAGGCACATTTTATAGAGAGGAGAGACAGTGAGAGAAATTCATCCATCCAATGATTCATCCACCAAAATGAATAGCAAGAGCTGAGCCAACCTGAAGTCAGGAGGTTATTCCTGGTCTCCCACCTAGATGCAGAGGCCCAAGGACTTGAACCATCCTCTGCTGTTCTCCCAGACCATAAACAGGGAACTGGATCAGAAGTGGAGCAGCTGAGACACAAACCGGTGCCCATCTGGGGTGCTGGTGCTGTAGTTGGAGGATTAGCCTGGTATGGCATCACTCTAGCCCCTGGCCATTGTTTTCTCATGAGAAAACTAGTTAGGAATACAATTCTGGCCTTCTGATGGGTTTTATCTTCTCCCTCTTGTCCCACCATTTTCTCAGATTTTCATTTTTTGGTGCTCCCCTCCTGATGCTGTGGCAAGAGATACCTGTGTTTAATAAATCTCAAGTTGCTCAGTGAAATTGTTGCCTTGGGGCCCGGCGCGGTGGCGCAAGTGGTTAGGTCCTCGCCTTGCACGCCCGGGATCCCATATGGGCGCCGGTTCTAATCCCGGCAGCCCCACTTCCCTTCCAGCTCCCTGCCTGTGGCCTGGGAAAGCAGCTGAGGACGGCCCAAAGCTTTGGGACCCTGCACCCGCGTGGGAGACCCGGAAGAGGCTCCTGGCTTCGGATCGGCATAGTATCGGCCCGTTGCGGCTCACTTGGGGAGTGAATCATCGGACGGAAGATCTTCCTCTCTGTCTCTCCTCTCTGTATATCCGCCTTTCCAATAAAAAATATAATAAAAATAAATCTTTAAAAAAAAAAAAAGAAATTGTTGCCTTGAAAAACTTTCTTTCCTAGGAGATAAGAACAGAGGTTGCCTCCATCCTTTGTGTTGATTTTTCTGTACTGTTTGCTCCACTCCCAATTCCAAATTCCTGTTGATGTGTACCCTGGGAGGTAGCGGGGATGGCTCCAGCAGCAGAGTGCCTGACTTCAACCTCATCCAGCTCGAGCCATTGCGAGCGTACAGGTAAGGAACTGGTGGATGGGAGCTTGCCCTCTGACTCCTTGTTAAGCAAGTAAATAAATAAATAGTAAAGTTTAGGAAGTGATTCAAGGAATAGGACTTGAAAAAATAATGATATGCTACATACAAAAAAATACAGTAAGTTCAAAGTAGTAAGAAGGGTGGAGAATGATACACCATGTACACATTCATTATTAAAATGGAGCAGATAGCTGTGATAAGTTAGATTTTAAATTAATAAAACACAAATTATCAGAGATAAAGAGGGATTTTACTAGCACTCTAAGGATCAAACCACCAGGAAAACACAGTATAGTAAATGTGTGCAAGCTAAACCTTAGAGCCTCAAAT